TCAGTCCTGTCAATAGCATAGGCCTCTGGGAAGTAGAATGGAGGAAAGCAGGTGCCAAATAAAACAGAGGGATGGGGGCACCTGGGCAGCTCAGTGGGTTGAGCATCTGACTTCGGCTCAGGTCATGATCTCATGGTTTGTGAGTTTGAGCCCTGCGTTGGGCTCTCTGCTGTCAGCACAGAGCCTGCTTTGGATCATCTGCCTCCCTCCCTGTCTGTCCCTCCCATGCTCCCTCTCTCTCAAAAATAAACATTAAAAATTTTTAAAAATAGATTAGAAAGGGATCTGTTCATGTATCACAAAGTATATTTTTGTTACTTTTTAATCAACATTTTCCTCCGAAACACTTCCCCACCCTCCATTTGGTTAATATTGTTTGTTTGTTTTTTTTAATGGGCAAATGTGGCATGCGACCTTGATGTTCTTCCTTGTTTTCTTTTCTTTTTTTTCCCTTTTCTTCCCCTAAGCTTCTTGCTTCCTTTCCACATCACAGCCTGGCATGCAAATACTAAGAGAATAGATTATGTTCATGCATTCTTTGTTCCTGATGGATCCCACCTCAATCAGGCACATTCTCACAACCACCTCATAAATAAAAATATGCAATTTTGAAACTCCATTCCCCTAAGAATCTGCGGAGAAGATGTGGAACGGACCGTTACATGTTTCCCACCTAGAAGGGCGTTCTTCAGTTCTACTCTGATTGATTCACACCGATGAGGCAAGTGCTGACTCCAGAGCTAAAAACAGGGTGAGTGACTGTGACCGTGTGGTGGTGTGGAAAGGGGGAGGTGTTCCGTGCTGTGGAGGAGGAAAACTGGGCCAATGGCTTCTGTAAGCAAATGCAGCTGAATATGAATTTTGTATTTGATAGGGCGTGAATAGAAGATAGTTCTAGGCCTCTGCCCTGATGTGACTCTAAGCTGCCTTTGATAGTTCCCCTGAGACACTTAACATGAGTTGTAGGATCACAGACACTCACAGGGTTAAGGAGTGGGCCAGATGATTAGCTAACTCACTGCCAGAATAATCTAGGTGTGTAATAAAATGCCCATACCCCCAATCTGACAATATATATCAAGAGCTTCCTTGCAAGGTTATTTCTCGGCTGGACTGAGTTCCTGGGACTCAGATACTTGTCTGTTGGGTGAGCAGGTGTTACCCTTCCTCCAAAGATAACCATTTGCATTGGTGGCTAGAATACTGAGGTGTGGATTTGGGCTGGGCTCGGAGGTATACCCAGGGTTTCCTTAAGGGCTGGAGGAGAATTTGGAGGGGAGGGAAAGGCTCAGATCTTGGATATACTCCATTGAGTGCCATGGATATAAACCATGCCTAGTGGGGAGACAGAGTGGGTGTAGACTATATTGCAGGAAATGGCGATGAGGCCCTGGAAATGGAACTCACCCACAGGGAGGGGGTTCAAACAGGACAAAGGTCACACCCAGAAGGAAGTGTTAGCTCCCAGGGCACAGTGGACCTTGCTCCACCCTGTGCTGTTATAGACTTTGGTAAAACAACTAGTTTTAGCCTGTGAACTAAAAAGCTTGGATCACCAAAAAGCTAAGACATTCAAGTCTTAAGAAATTCTTGTGTTGAGATTCCACTCAAGGAGTAAAATGGTCTCTGAGTTAGGTCCCCCCACCGCCCTCCCAGATACTCTCAGCCTGACTGTGTCCCAGGCTTTGGTGTATTGTTCAACTTCCCTGACAAAGTGGGCCCTGGGAACCCTGAACTGTTTCCATAGTCTTAAAGCCCTTGCCATTTGCCGCCATCCTTAGTGGGGTAGAGGGTGGGAGAGGAGACATCTCGAGATAGGTATGGGCAGAGATTGTGCCCTGAGCTCACTTCTCCTACAGCTTTTGGGACTTGGGTCATACTCTACCAAACTCATGGAAGCTCTGGGTTTTCCAATGAATGCCAAGAGGCAACAGGGGACATACCTGGGAGAACAGGGGAGGTTATGAGCCATGGGACAAATTTTGACCAACAAGAGACAGAAGATTGGAAAGAGTCTGCAGGACAAATTTGTTTCCTTCTCACTCCCACCTTCTGGCTGTTCTAAGACACAGCAACTCAAAATAGTGTGTCTGGAAATATCCCACAGTACCGAGAAATAAACTAGGTTTCAAATCTGTAACCAGCTGAATAACATGCCACCTTGTATTTGCTTCCCTCCTTTCCTTCCTTCCCTTTCGTACTTGCTCCTAATTCCCTCAATGACAGCCCCCAAGGAAGCACTAGCATGTAACTCAGGTTGTTTTCTAGAGAACCCGGGATAACGCAGAATGCAAAACAAACAAATACACAACCAAAATGTTGGATTTGGTGAAAGTTACAATGAAGGCAACGATATGGAAGAAATAAAATTGGGGGCGTTCAGCATGTTTACTAGAAATAACAGATCAAGGGCAGCTGATCTAGGCTATCATAAAGTTGGGATGAAAAGTTTGAGGGTTAGGGGTAAAGTGTGCTCATGGAACTCTGTCTCTAGAAGGTACGTATCCTGTTCTCAAGCAGGTAGTAACAGGTAGTCAAGTGTAAGGACTTTTTTTCATGGAAGTCTATATTCCAGAGACCACAGAAATATTTTGGGTGAGAGTCTCATATAAGGGGTGAAAATATTCTCTGCATCAAACAATCACAGCAACAAGCGCCCATAAGAAATAATCACCCTGTCAGCGAAACTGATGAGAAATACCAGAGACTTTTTTTGCTACAACCCTGGAAGTCTGTGCTTTATGTTATAAAGGAGGGGAGAGTGCTTCTTATATGTATACATCCCATTGCTTAATTCTTATCACAGCCCAGGGGAGCAGATATTATTCTCATCCCCATTTTACAGAGAAGAAATTAGAAATTTAACAGAGGAAAAGGGCTTTGTTCCAAGTTACGTGGATTCAGGGCTCGAACCATGCTGATACCCTTTGGCTCAAAATCCCAGCTGTGGGTTTGAAGGAACCGTGGAGGTAAATTTCATGAGAGGGTCAAAAATGGCTTCAGCTGGTTAGTGGCTCTACTTTAGTTAATGAATGGAGACAAAAGGGAAATTATTCAGAAGTCGAGGGAATTGTGGCCCTTCTAAAATTACGCCAGGTGAAGTAATCTGTGTTTGTATCAGAGACCTATAATTTATGTAAATCCACATACATCTTTTTCAGATACTGCATAAATTGGGGAGCGTGTGGCGTGTTGTGGAATTAAATGTATTTGTGTGTGTTCGACACACTGTATAATTGACTCAATTATCCATGTGGGGATTATTCACTTTTAATTTGCAATCTGGCTTCTCCTTTCAGTTAGGATGTTTTTGGGCTGCTCTAGGAATGCCAACGAATTTAAATAATAATTTAAGTAAAACATAATTAGGTAAGAAAATGAAATTCAATCTTTTGCCAGCTCCTGAAGATTCTACAGCTGAAATGGGACTCTAATTCACTCACTTTTTTTTTCAGTCTCCAATGCTGTTTTACTACCACAGGATTTTATTGCTTTCCATAGATTATTACAATAGTTCCCTGTTTGACTTTCCTGCTTTCCTCTTTTCAATCCAATCATCATTCTGCTGACAGTAATCTTCAAAAGACCAAAAACCACACGCGCGCGCGCGCGCGCGCGCACACACACACACACACACACCAAATAGCAGCTCTCATCAAAAGATTTTCTTTACTGCAAAACATTAATGACTCCCCATTTCTCACTAGCTCAAGAGTACATGCTATAATCTATCATTCAAAACTTCATCAGGAACTTTCCCTGATCTAATGTTTTACCACTTTTCCCACCTCTACATCCCTTTAATGCACTACGTGTTTTTCTCTAAAGCGACAAAGGTATTCATGACCCCATGTTGCATCCTTGCTCTACTGTGAGATTCTAAAGAGCAGTCTCTGCGGGGATGCATCTCCCCTACTAAGCAGTACCTAGGTCAGTGCCGTACCCCAAAGGGGCGTAATAAAACTTGTCCATTTGAACTGCTGGGAAGCCTTGAGGGCAGGAATTTTGTTTGGTCTTTTGCATCCCAAGGACCTACCATACGGTGTCTGGCATACAGCAGGTGCTCAATGAACACTACGGAAGGAATGAAGGTAGATGCTGCAAGCTCTGTGGGGTGCCCTTCAGAGTTCCTGGGAGGCAGATACTGGAAGGGCTGATCACACAGTGCTTATGTTGGAGCTGGTGGCACAGACCTCTACTGGGGGATACTGTGTGACACCCTCTGACTGGTTTGGGGGAGAGTGCTCCCCTGCCCACCCCCTCGCGATGCAATTCAGACACTGGCTGGGGTGGGGTGTTCAAACTTAAAAAAAAACAACAACTACTATTTACATGTACACACACCTACTCCATAAAAATACACACACATCCATATCCAGATTTGAACTGTGCAGGTCCACCCATACTCGTATGCTTTTGATAAATACAACACAATATCATAAGGTATTTTCCTAATAACATTTTCATTTCTCTAGCTTGCTTTAGCTTATTTTATTGTAATAATACAGTACGTAAAAATATACAAGCAACGACTATGTTGTCAGTAAGGCATCTGGTCAACAGGAGGCTATTGGTACTGAAGTTTTGGGGGCATCAAAAGTAGTATGTGGAATCTTGACTCAGGGTGGAGTGGCACCCTTAACCTCCCGGTTTTCACGGGTCAACTTTGCATATATAATAAGCAAATAGATAAATATAAATAACTTAATATGTGAACAGGGTTAAGGCCGAACACTGCGAGGGGCAGGTGGGCGGGGATGAAGCTCCCTTGGCCCTGAAGGACCGCAAGAGCAGGTGCGGAGCCCGAAGCTGAGGGACTTGGGCCTTCCGGCGTTCCGTAGGCCCTCTGCCATTGGCTGGGCTGCAGACAGCTGACAGGCGGCGGCTGGGCGTGGGAGTTTCAAAGATGGCGGCCACCACGGCGCTCATCCTGCCGGAGAGCCCCAGGTAGTCGCCAGGGGTGGCATGGACCCGGCCGACGCAAGGACTCCTCTGCTAGCTGTCGCCTTTGCTCCGAAGCGGGGCGGGCGCGGGGCGGGCGCGGGGCTGGCGATATCGCGGGGCGGCCCTGCTCCTGGAGTGCCGGGGACTGTGGGTGTCTCGCCTTCTGGGTGGTTCACTTACGTGGGGTTACAGCGCGCCTGGCAGCTGGGGTCAATAGGACGGGGTGTGGTGTGTGTCACCGTTCCCAGATCGTGGGGTCAGAAGCACCCACGCCTCTCTGGAGTAGTGCTAAAGCACTTGGAAAGCTATGTAGTTTCTGTTTTCAACTCTCCTTCAGGCCTGATTATGAGAAAGGCTCCCGTTAGGGGAGCTGGAAGGTCTTTAATCCCTAACACATGTCAGTATCCCTTTTCAGTCAAGATAGAGTAAGACCCGTTTTGGCCTAGTATCTAAGCAGAAATTGGCAACATTGCTTTTTGTTTCATTTTTAAATTTATTTTTAGTTCATTTCTACTTAACGGTAGGTAAGGTGGGCTGTCCAGGGTGGTGATATAAAGTTCTGTCTTAGAATACAATTATTTTTCCCATTTCGTGAAAAATAAGTAATAGTGCAGGTAGTTTACTGATGTAGAAAAAATTGGAAAGTAACAACTTGAAGAAGAGAGTTGTTATTTTAAAGTTTTTCCCCTTCTTCCTGGATTCCTTGAATTCACAACCAGTTCCTCTCCTCATATCAGTGTCCTGCTTAAGACTCACCACATCAGTAAGCGTTATCCAATATGATGCAGTAGAATTGTTCTTATCACATAATTTAAAGCTAGTTGTTACAGGAGAAGTAGAGTTTTAAAACAACTGTCTACTGTTACCCGAAATGATTTTATATGTCATATATATATATATGTTGTTTTATTGCTGTATTTTCCATGCACTATTCTTTGTATTTTGGTGTAACTGCCACTTTCCTCCTTCTCTTTTCCATAGTTCCATTGTGAGTTAAGTGGATGTTAAATATTTACAGTTGAGTTGATGCTATTCCCCACAGAGTACAAGCTTCCCCTAGTAGTCTGCCTTGCACAAAAGAAAAGAGAAACTTGGCCAAATGGACTTTTTCCACACAAGTACTTTTTGAGAGGCATCTTTCTGGAAACTTCCTCACTCCCTTGCTGACCATCATCTGTTTTTCTTTTTCTTTCTTCCTTTCTTCCTCCCTCTTTCTTTTTTTCTTTCTTTCTTTCTTTCTTTCTTTCTTTCTTTCTTTCTTTCTTTCTTTCGTCTGTTTTTCTTTCTTCCTTTCTTTCTCTTTCTCCTTCCTTCCTTCCTTCCTTCCTTCCTTCCTTCCTTCCTTCCTTCCTTCCTGTTTTATTTCTGAGTGAGCAAGAGAGACAGCGTGAGCAGGGGAAGGTCAGACAGAGAGTTAGATACAGAATCTGAAGTAGGCTCCAGGCTCTGAGCTAGCTGTCGAACCCACGAACCGTGAGATCATGACCTGAGCTGAAATCAGATGCTTAACAGACTGAGCCACCCAGGCGCCCCATTGTCTGTTTTTCTTAATAGCAATCAGAGTTGTTGAAATGGAAACTTGGAGACAACTGCCATTGTAGACAACGTGCTAATAGCAAGTACAGTTCCACCTGGAAAACTCATTTAAAATTTTTGTTTTATAAATTTATTTAGCATGAAAAAAGCAGTATCGCTGATAAATGCAATAGATATAGGAAGATTTCCACGCTTGCTCAGCCGAATTCTTCAAAAACTTCACCTGAAGGTTTGTATTTTTGCATTTCTATAGTTGATAATAACTTTCTTGTGATTACACTGAAATGCTTTATTTATATTTGAAAAACTTTTTGCAACGTATAGTGTTTCCCAGTGTGTCCTAGGGAACACAGGCTCTGTACAGAATTTTGTAATGGTCCATGGTCAGAAGTTTGGGAAACTCTGTCTTCATTAAAGTTAATCTTTTTTATTATGGAAGTTCTCAGAGTGTGTGTGTATATGTATTTTTTCAGAGTATATTTTATGATAGTGTTTACAGTAAATATTTAAGGGTGAATATGGTGTGCAAATTTTTTTTAACATGTTTGACCTCACAACTGATGTATCATGGTATATATTTTGGGACTCAGATTCTGTGTAACATGCTTAGGGAAAATTCTGATTTCGTTCTTCCTCTTAAAAATAATGCTGTGGTTTTCCTATTATTTGGGTATATAATCTTTCCTTTAATCTGTCTCTTCCACTTTTACTTCCAGGCTGTGGTTATTTTGGACAGATTGATGTTTACTGATTCACTACTTGGTTACCAGTCGAAGTTAACTTCTTTATCAGGTTATTAAAAATTTAATTCCAACTGACATATATTTATGGAGCACCTAGTAACTCCTCTGCCTTGTGGTACCTGGCATCACTATTAAATGAGAATTAAATGGACTCTTTTTTGAAATTAGTTTTTATTTTAAATTTCAGTTAACCTACAGTGTGGTATTAGTTTTAGGTGTAGAATATAGTGATTCCTCACTTACATACTTCACCTGGAGAACCTGGACTCTCTTGTCTTGTTTTCCTCAGAAGCCAGTCCACTTCCAAGTCCTTTCTCCCTCTGAAATATCTCTCAAATACAAGTTCTCTTCATAGCTCAGACCCTTATTATCCCTGCTTTAGATGACAATAACTGCCTTGAAACTGACACCTCTCCCTGAAGTCTATTTCCTCCTATCACTTCTTCTTAATACTAGCCCATTTATCTCTACAAATATTTTTTCCTTAAAAAAAAAAAAAAAGATTTGAGCATATCTTTACAGTGTTTAAAGCCGTCATTTTCTTCCCATTGCCTCATGGGAAAAAGTTCAAAATCTTTAGCATTGTATTGTAATCACATTATAATCACATTATAATATGGCCACAGGCTTTATTTCCCCATTTTGCAAGTGCTCTAGTCACACCGGACTGTGCTCTTATACCAGAACATACCATGAACTTTTCCAACTGTGTTTCCATGCATATACTCCTTCCCTTCCCTCCAATGTCTTCTTTCCCTTCTTTATTGAATAGACTGCATATTTCCAGGATTCAGCAGTTTGTTTTCTGTGCTTCTAAAACACTCGGTTCATTGTCACCTCATTTTAGTCCTGCAGTTTAAGTATTTGTTTTATGCTGATAAGGTCTTTTGCTGAATACCTTGAGTATCACGTTTTACTCATCTTTATATTTTCCATGCCTAATACACTTATATGGTTGGCACTCAGTCTCTGTTATTGCAGTTAATTCTTATCCTGGTGTGGGAAACACAAAACAAATTTCCTGGCTATAAAGAATTTGTGAGGTAGATGCAGAGACAGGAGGAGTCAACATAACAATATGATAGCAGCTACATTCTGTAGTATTTGTGATTCACAGCTACTGTTGCTCTCTCTGGCAGTATTCTAATGGTTTTGTGTTGTTACTTTATCTGATCCTAATAGCAACTTTTGGAAGTAGGTGCTCTTGTCATCCTTATTTCATCCAAGATGAAACTGAAATAGAGACCAGTTAAATAATTTGTCCACGGTCACACACCTAACTAGTAAGCAGCCTGGTTCCAGAATCCATCCCTTTAATCCATCCCTGTTTATGACAGTAAACCTCAGGAAGAGTACAGATCAGTATATAAATTAGTCCAAAAGTGAACGATGTAGGTAATCAGTCCAGAAGTTCTGCTGTGATTCCCTGAGCTGATGGCTGTCGTCTCAAACTTACAAAACAATATGGGACAAAAAACTCTCAAATGCATCTTTTGTTCTTTACGGTGCAGGAGGATAGGACTTTTGCAGAAAAATGGTCATAGGTAGTTTGTCTTTGACCCTGTCAGTCATTTCTGGAGTTGTGAATAAGTTAGTGTCTATCTTAGAGTAAGTGGGTGGCTGGAGCATTTCACAGAGGTGCTTAGATGCTATGCCATCATTGGGAGGGGAGTGGACATGAGGTGTGGTTTTTGACAGCTGAAGCAGTTGAGAACAGAAACATAATGCACATGATAACTTTGCCAGCTAAGATAGCAAGCAAAGTGCAATTTTTTTTTCCTGGACAGTTTCAGGGAATGTTCTTTTAGAGGGGCTCCTATTATGCTAAGAGTTCAAAGCAGGTAAAGTTTGCAGTGACATTCAGGATCTGCCAGATTTCTTTTGTGTGCTCTTGGTCTGTTAAATGGCCTTTGCTTTGAGACAAGCAGAGCCCTTAGAACAGTGAAATCTGATGTGGGTGGATAGGTGAAGAGTTTTAGGGATTGGGTTGCTCTTCTAAATCTTATCAGCTTGACACTTTAATTTGTTTATGGGGTTGGACAGACTGGTTCCTTGGAATCCCTAGTTGGAATAAACATAGAGAGAAGCATCAAGTATGGAATATGGGTGTGCCTTAGCATGGGCCTGGGAGACCTCTTTGAACTGACCATCTCCCTGGCTCATATAGCATGCTAATAGAACCTGCACTGGGAAACACTGACAGAAGTCAGATAAGGGGCTTAGAAATAACAATTTATGGCCTCTGAATTTAAAAGAAAAACATAGCTGTCACAACTCATGCAATTAAAAAACTCACATACTTTGCTTCCCTGGAGAGACTGGTAGGCCACCGCACAAAGCCTGTTGGTCCAGCTATGTTGTATGTCTAATTCTGAGAGATCAGCTCTCTGCATCCCCGGCTGTGGCAAACTAGAAACAGCAAACTAGGGGGTGAAGGTGCTGCTGTGATGGTCATGGAGGCAGTTTCAAGAACTGACTTATAAAAATCGGACACAAGAAATAGAAGTACCCAGAAAGCTGAGGGTTTTTGTACAGAATTCTGATGCTCATAATTGTGACTGACTCATCATAAGAAAGTAGTTTATTTATTTTTTTATGTCTTTATTTTATTTTGAGAGACAGAGACAGTGAGTGGGGGAGGGTCAGAGAGAGAGGTAGACACAGAATCTGAAGCAGGCTCCAGGCTCTGAGCTGTCAGCACAGAGCCCGATGCGGGGATTGAACCCATGGACCATGAGATCATGACCTGAGCTGAAGTCGGACACTTAACCGACTGAGCCACCCAGGCACCTCATAAGAAAGTAGTTTAAACCTATATACTTTGTTTGCCAAAGTCTAGAATGCATGTTACACATTTTAGAAAGATTGCTTCCATAAATAAGAAAAAAAATTCTTTTGCTTGATAGATTCTCTTGTGGAACCTCTGTATTTCCCCATTATGACAGATAGAGAAGTCTCAGTATATTAACGTAAAGGACAATCACGAGTGTGAATCCCAGCCTATAGAAATGCCTAAGAATTTTTCTTGGCTATTGTAATGTATGTAGGGTGCTACTGGCATTTAATGCCTGGGGCCTTAAAAGTCCTGTGTGCCAGAGAGTCCTATGCAAAGGAGAATTGGCCCCACCGATATGGATAAAAAAGAAGAGGGTAGTTCATCTCTGAAAATACATTAATTTTGTAGTTAATATAAGGTGGAAGTCTTCTTACAAATGGGTTTGTTGGGTAAGAAATATATATATACACTTTAAATTATAATATTTGCAAAATATTAGTACTGTGTGTTCTTCCATTGAAGTGTTTGTGTGTAAGACAGTGAATGTGAGTCAGAGCTTGGGCTCTGGACAACAGGCCTCTCTGTCTCTAAATCCATGCTCTCAGGTTTTTGTTTTTTTGAGAGAGAGCACGTGAGCAGAGGAGAGGGGCAGAGAGGGAGAGAGAGAACCTCAGGCAAACTCCATGCCCAGTGCATAGCCCGACGAGGGCTTCCATCTCACAACCATGAGATTATTGACCTGAGCCGAAATTAAGAGTCGGACACTTAACTGCCTGAGCCACCCAGGTTCCACCTGCCCCTCCACCCCCCAGCCTCATGCTCTCAGTATTTAAAACAAAATTTCTTTCATAATTATTTAGATAATATACTATCTTCATGGAGTAGAAGACATCTTTAATTCTCTAAGGAATATGACCTGGTTTCAACTATGTGTAAAACTGAGGTTGGTTCACTCATCATGCATATTAAGAAAATGAATTCTTCAAAAAAGATAAAGAAAAAGATAAAAAGACAATTTGGACGAATGGACTTTTTAATTTTTTTTTTCCTGTGGCCTTCTAGTTTGGAATACTTAGAGCACTTAAATTAGGCATCTTAATAACAAATTTTAAATTTCACAAATAGTTTATGAGTAAGTTTTTGTTTTAAGAAATTTACATAGTATGTACAACCTGAAATGAAATGCCCCCTTGGTTAACTCCTTCCTTCCATCTTAATTCTCTCCTGCATTAGTTATTTATTGCTGAATTACAAATTCCCCAAAACTTAGCACCTTAAAATGATAATAAACATTTATTATACTCACAGTTCCTGTAGGTCAAGAATGTAGGAGAGGCTTGACTGGTCGGTTCTGGCTTGAGGTTCTCATGAAGTTGCTGCCAGGTGTTGTTGGGGCTGCTGTTAATTTGAAGGTTTGTCTGAGGTTGGAGGATTTCCTTCCAACATGACTACCTGGTGGAGGCCTCAGTTCCTTGCTACACAGGCCTTTGCTCCCGACGTGGAGGTGACTTCTTCCAGAACCAGTGATCCAAGAGAGGGAGGTGCTGTCCCTTTTATGACCTCACGTTCGATGTCACATAGCTTCACTTTTACTATACTTTTCTTGTTAGAAGTAAGTCACTCCATCTGGATCACATTCAAGGGCAAGAAATAAGGCTCCATCCTTTGAAGGGAGGAGTGTTACAGAATTTTCAGATACAATAAAACCACCACACCTCCTTGGAGGTAGCCTTTGTTACCAATTTGGTTTTTATTCTAGATTTCTTTTCTATGTGTTAATAAATACAGATGTGAATACACATGTGCATACACATACACAGAGAAATGTGCAGTTCATCTATATTTTTCTGCAAGTGATATCATACTGTACATATTGTCCTGTTGCTCATCATTCTCACTTGCCACTTTAGGAGACCTTTCCACATCACTTCATATAGCACTACCTTATATTTTTTGTATGTTGTTTTCCCTTTCTGCTTGTGTATATGTATTTATGACATAAGTTCTTTGAATATATAGAAAAAGTTAACATTCATTTTCCATTTTATTTATTACAATTTTTTTTTAAATGTTTTATTTATTTCTAGGAGAGAGAGAGACAGCATGAGCAGGGGAGGGTCAGAGAGAGGGAATCACAGACTGAAACAGGCTCCAGGCTCTGAGCTGGCAGTCAGCACAGAGCCCGACGCAGGGCCTGAACCCACGAACCGCAAGATCATGACCTAAGCGAAAGTCGGACGCTTAACCGACTAAGCCACCCAGGTGCCCCTATTACAATTTTTTTTAATGTTTATTTTTGAAGGAGAGAGACAGATGCGAGCGGGGGAGGGGCAGAAGAGAGGGAGACACAGAATCTGAAGCAGGCATCAGGCTCTGAGCTGTCAGCAGAGAACCTGACGTGGGGCTTGAACTCACAAGCTATGAGATCACCACCTGAGCCAGTCAGATGCTCAACTGACTGGGCCACTGGGGCACCCTTTATTTTTTTTTAAGTTTATTTACTTATTTTGAGAGAGGGAGAGAGAATGACTAGGAGGTTGGAGCAGAGAGACAGGCAGAGAGAGAATCCCAAGCAGACTCTGTGCTGTCAGTACGGAGCCTGACACGGGGGCCCGAACTCATGAACTATGAGATCACGCCCGGAATCAAAATTCAGAGTCGGACACACAACCAACTGAACCACCCAGGTACCCCCCAAACCACTTTATTAATATAATGCCCTTGGAAATCTTGAAAATGTCTCTCTCTCTATTTTTGTTGTTGTATTAAAAACAAGATAAAACAAGACAAAACAAATAAAAATATGTATTTCTTGTACATATTGGGGACACTGAGAGTTTATTTTTGTACCTCCTCAATCACTATTACTATTTTGTGAAAACAGCCTATTTGGTGTATGTTCAAAGGCATCAAATTGACGAACTTGGAAGTTAAATTATAAATATCCATTGAATTTAACACAACATGTGATTCAGAGATTATATACATGTGATACCATTATGTTCTTCTCATTGATATAATCTGGTACTATATAGGTCATTATTTTAAGAAGATGTAGTCACAGAAATTCTGAAACTTTTAAGTTAGAACATTGCTCTTGAGGTAAGTGATAGGCAGGTTGGCCACATTGGGCTCACGATTTTCTCAGTGAAAAACAGATAGAAGAGACTGGGAGTTCTGGTGAGTAGCCTTCCAAAATACGCTAGCTTCAAGGTCTAAGGTGGCTTCAGCTGAACAGTCAGGTAGTTGTACATCATCCTAAGCTGTCAAGGCAGGGCCTTGTGAAACTTGTGAATTTTCTCTATATTGCTGTTTGGGAGAGGCAGCCATAGGGAGAGTTGTTTTCAGTATGTGTGGATGACATAGATTTATTTTATTTTATTTTATTAATTTATTTTTAAAGGAGTTCTTTTTATTTTAATGTTGTTCTAGGGGCGCCTGGGTGGCTCAGTTGGTTAAGCATCTGACTTCGGCTCAGGTCATGATCTCACGATCCTTGAGTTCAAGTCCTGCGTCTGGCTCTGTACTGACAGCTCAGAGCCTGCAGCCTGCCTCCAATTCTGTGTCTCCCTCTCTCTCTCTGCCCTTTTCCCACTCATGCTCGGTCTCCCTCTGTCTCAAAAATAAGTAAACACTAAAAAAAAATAAAAAAATTAAAGTTGTTCTAGTGGTCCACATTTTTCCTGCTTAATAAACCAGTGTCTTTAGATCAATGAGACTATTTTGGGTATGAAAGAAAGACTTCTCAGAGGTTCTATTCAGACAACTGTCTTTTTTCATGTGTTGGTCATAAAATTAATGTGTATAATGTGTAGGTTTTGGAAAATATGTATGAAAACGATAAAAGAGACCTAATTTCTTGCTTTCTGTATGCTCTTGTAAGCACTCATCAAAATGAAAATTACATGAATAGGTATTTGTTTTTGTGTGTCTAACTAGAGTATTGTATACTTGGGGACATGAACTGACTTTCTCTGTAGCACGTAATAGATACTCAGTAAATATATTTGAATGTGGAAGATGGACATTACTGTTAATTATTCTGAACATTTTGGGGTTTTACCTTCTATTACTGTTTTCTCTAAATGTCCATTTCTTTAGGTATTCACTGGTAGTTTACACCTCCTGTATAAGTCATAGAACTTAAAGTAATGGGTTTTTTTGAATTTATTTAAAATGAGCTTCCTTTGGCATGATCCAAATAATGAATTTTACTATGACTTTGAGTTGTTGACATTTACAAACATCAAATTGTTTCACCCTGGATTCACTTTTTCTTAACATTTCTCATCCATGTGTGAATCAATGAATCTTCTGATATTCTTCTGTCGAGTGTCTAAGTTTCAAATTCCTCAGTGTGTGCTAATAACTTGCTTTTTTGTGTTTTAGGCTGAGAATAGTTTCAGTGAAGAAGAAGAAGAAAAGCTTCAGGCCGCGTTTTCTCTAGAGAAACAAGATCTTCACCTAGTTCTTGAAACAATATCATTCATTTTAGAACAGGTATTTTTTTTTTTTGCACCAGACCTCCTAACCATACTTTCTTTACTGCATACTTGTATTGCTATGAGAGCTATCATTCTTTTTATTTATCTTTTTTTCCATTAAAATTTTTTTAATGTTTATTTATATTGAGAGAGAGAGAGAGAAAGTATGAGTGCGAGTTAGGGAGAGGGGGAGAGAGAAAGAAGAGAAAGAATTCCCTGTAGGCTGTCAGCCCAAAGCCCAATGTGGGGCTTAAACCCATGAACCATGAGATCATGACCTGGGCCTAAGTCAAAAGTCAGATGCTTAACAGACTGAGCCACCCAGGGGCCCCCATCGCTTTTTATTTTTTCAAAAATAGTGTACAGATGGAAGCTATGAATATATTGTACTTGAGAATTTTAATGTAGTAAAAATATTTGAATGTATGGTTTTTTCCTACCATATTGCAGTCTACAAAACAATCTAAATGTTGAGTACCATGAGTAAAGTATTTAACAACGTGAATCAAGACTTCGTTGACTTGAGATGGGTATAAAACATTTTAATTCATTGTTGCTGGGTATCATAACTTGGAGAAATGAGCACATTATATTTAAAAAATTTAATAAATGATTTCGGGGGGATTTATTTGAGTAGGATGGTAAAACATTTAGAAACCAAATAACTGTCAAAGGATTTTGAAATGTCATACGATTTCTTCCTAATGAAGTGACCTTTTGCATCCCTTGTTTTCAGCTATTAAATTCGGTTCAAGTCCCATCTGCTTTCACTGTAGCCTTGCTCCTTGCACTAGGCAGTCTTGCCCTAATTTGGATTCCTTTTATCCTTGGTTCATCAGAGTGGAGCACATCATTAGTCTTTCATTTCATGTGTGTCAACCTTCACTGGGTTTTGAATTGGAGAGGGACCTATCATATTTTTGGCTCATCTCCTGTAAACCTAGCACATTGCTGGGCTTAAAATAGATTTTCAATAAATTCCTGTTGGTTGACTTCGTAGTGAATACTTGTGAAATGAAAGTTTCAATAGTACGTTAGCTTCTTGGGCATTCTAGCGAACAGATATGGTCAGGAAGGCAAGCACCCAGGCATCTACTTCCTACAGCCTTATGCAAATTACAGATCGTAAAGATGACGGTGGTTCTGAGCCCTGGTGAACCTTCAGTAGAAGGATAATCATGTAGGACCCAGCAACATGGCCTTCATGAGAAAGTCATTCCAGAAATAGAACAGATATTATTAAAAGCACTTTACTTTTATAAGTTTACAATATTTTATTATATATGTTTACAGTGTTTTATTATATATGACCTAGGAAGTTGGTAGACGAAGGTGCTTTGAGAAAAGTGCTCCTTGGAAAACTGGGAAAGGAAACCATTGTACATTCCTTTGAAACAGTTCAGTGAAATAAGGAAATGATAGTTTAATTTTATTTGTTTACAGTATTTATTTATTAAGTAATCTCTACACCCATTGTGGGGCTCACACTCATGACCCTGAGATCAAAAGGTGTACGCTCTTCTGACTGAGCCAGCCAGGCACCCCAGAAATGATATTTTTAAAAACAATTTTTTTAACTTTTATTTATTTTTGAGAGACAGAGAATATGAATGCGGGAGGAGCAGAGAGAGAGAGAGGGAGACACAGAATCCAAAGCAGCTCCAGGCTTTGAGCTGTCAGCATAGAGCCTGATGCGGGGCTCAAACCCATGAACTGTGAGATCATGACCTGGGCCAAAGTCAGATGCTTAACTGACTAAGCCAGCCAGGCACCCCAGAAATGATATTGTAAATAGGGTACCATTTACATAGCTAACGTAAAGAAGTTTTTCTGTTAAACAGACTTAGGGTTACTTAAGACACAGGCAAAAATGGGACAGTGTAGCCTGAATAATTTAAATTAGGCCCTTTAACCCTGCATCTCCCAGTTGTGTATATTATTATTGGTAAATAGATATAAAACATTTATGGGGTGCCTGGGTGGCTCAGTCAGTTAAGCGTCTGACTTCGGCTCAGGTCATGATCTCGCAGTCCATGAGTTCGAGCCTCACGTCAGGCTCTGTGCTGATAGCTCAGAGCCTGGACCTTGCTTCAGATTCTGAGTCTCCCTCTTTCTCTGCCCCTCCCCTGCTTGTGCTCGCTGTCTCTGTCTCTCTCAAAGAATAAATAAACATTTAAAAAAATATATAAAACAATGCTGATAGAAACAGGAAATTTTTTGTTGATTTAAATCATTGCAAGATAATTTTGTATTTGATTATAATTCAGAGTATCTTCCCGAATGCGAGGAACGTAGGTAACACTGTTCTCCCGTGACCAGGCGGTGTACCACAACGTGAAGCCCGTGGTTCTGCAGCAGCAGCTAGAGAGCATCCATCTCAGACAAGACAAAGCAGAAGCTTTCGCCAGTGCTTGGTCTTCTATGGGCCAAGAAACAGTTGAGAAATTCAGACAGAGGATTCTTGCTCCCCACAAGGTATGGGATTATACTACCCCAGTGATATTTTCCAGTAAGAATGGCAAAAATTGTTGTACTGGAAGGGTTTTCAAGATGATCATGTTTTGTAGAGGGGTAGTTGGGCAAAAGGAAGAATATATACACTATGCCTTTCAGATTGTTTCCATACATATTGGCCACCACCATGTGATTTAATTTTACTTGCCTGTTTAAAATGTGTCTCTGTTGATACCATATGTTTGCATGTATAGGTGGATTAGGAGGAACTTAACGGAGGACCTCGGGGGAGAAGAAGGGGAAAAATAGTTGGAGAGAGGGAGGGAGGCAAACCATGAGAGACTCTTGAATGCTGAGAACAAACTGAGGGCTGATGGGCTTGAGGGGAGGGGAAGCGGGGTGATGGGCATGGAGGAGGGCACTTGTGGGGATGAGCACTGGGTGTTATATGGAAACCAACTTGACAATAAACTATGAAAGAAAAATAAATAAAATGTGTCTCTGTAACCTCAGAATAGGAATGAGACGGTCTTACCCCTGCCCCCCTTTTTATAAAACTTGGGCAGAATTGGTTATTCTTGTCAATGGTGTACCTGTGTGTAAGTCTTCCTATATTTTTACTGAATCATATAATTGTGTGCATGTGTATTTGCGCCTAGCAGAATGTACTCGATATTTGTACAGATAGCGTAAAAGGGAACACTTGGGACAAATAGAAAGTAACAGCAGTGTTTCAAAGCTCTTGAGGGGCCTTTCATCGCTGTTAGTAGAGGTGAAGGTGATCACACAGATTTTGACCTTTTCTCTAATAGGAGGCTGTGTCACATCACTGATTCTCAGATGTGCACCCGCGGTATTCCTCGGATCAGTTTTATGGGTTGTTGCGTATCATGCTTTTTATATGTTACCATTTGATTTGCTACTGTTTTTTTAAAAAAACCTTTTCCGTCTATGTTCATGAAGGCTATTGGTCTATTAGCTTTCTTGTGATGTCTTTGGTGGTATCAGGTGACACTGGCATTGGAAAATGAGCTGGGCCATGTTCTCCCCTCCTCTTCCATTTTCTGTAAGAATTTGTGAAGGATTAGTATTACTGTACATTTTCCAGCATCATCTGAGAGTTCCAGTGCCTCACTGGCACTCGGTATTGTCACTTTTTAAAGAAAATTAAAAAAAATTTTTGATTGATTTTTATTAAAAATTTATTTTTAATGTTTTATTTATTTCTGAGAGAGAGAGATAGCATGAGCAGGGGAGGGTCAGAGAGAGGAAGACACAGAATCTGAAGCAGGCTCCAGGCTCTGAGCTGTCAGCACAGAGCCCGACGCAGGGCTCGAGCCCACAAACTGTGAGATCATGACCTGAGCCGAAGCTGGACGCTTAACTGACTGAGCCACCCAGGTGCCCCTATTTTTATTTATTTTTGAGAGAGAGAGCGAGAGAGAGCGAGCTCACTAGCAGGGGAAGAACAGAGAGAGAGGGAGACACAGAATCCGAAGCAGGCTCCAGGCTCCAACCTGTCAGCACAGAGCCCAACACAGGGCTTGAACTCAAGAACCATGAAATCATGACCCGAGTTGAGGTCTGACGTTTAACTGACTGAGCCACGTAGGTGCCCCACACCTTTTTTCTTTTTTATTAAGGTTTATTTTTGAGAACGAGAGGGAGGGCACAGCAGGGGAGGGGCAGAGAGAGAGGGGAACAGAGCGTTGGAAGCAGGTAGTAGTATTTTTATTTTTTAGAGAGATAGAGAGCAGGGGAGAAGGACAGAAGGGGAGAGAGAGAGTGAGAGACGGAGAGAGGGAGGGAGGGAGGGAGAGAGAATCTTAAGCAGGGTACACGCTCAGTGCGGAGCCTGATGTGGGGCTTGATCTCACAACCCTGGAATCATGACCTGAGCCAAAATCAAGAGTCAGACATTCAACCAACTGAGCCACCCAGGTGCTCATTTTTCTTTTTTAAAGTAATATTTTCATTTCCAAATTATGTTGCATTGTATCTATATCTAAGAAGTGGTTTAGTCATTTGGCATATAAAATATGCAAAAAAGAAGTTGTAAGGACATGATTAATTGTACATTGTTCCCTTGAGAATGCAGAAAAATTTCTTTTGCTAATACAGAGTGTCTGAGAGGATAGCTACATTATTTTAATACCTTAAATGTTTAATTAAAACAGTGTTAGCAAACTTGCTTTTTTGTGCAAGTATAGTTGACACACAATGTTAGATTAACTTCAGATGTACAACATAGTGACTTGACAAGTCTGGATGTTTTTTTTAAGTTTTTTAAACATTTATTTATTATTAAGAAACAGAAAGAGACAGAGCATGAGCAGGGAAGGGGCAGAGAGAGAGGGGAACACAGAATCTGAAGCAGGCTCCAGGCTCTGAGCTATCAGCACAGAGCCCGACGTGGGGCTCAAACCCACAAACTGCAAGATCATGACCTGAGCTGAAGTCTGACACTCCACCGACTGAGCCACTCAGGTGTCCCAACAAGTCTGTGTGTTAAGCTATGCTCACTACAAGTGTAGCCCCATTTTGTCACTATACAGTGCTATTACAATACCATTGGCTGTGTTTCCTGTGCGTGTATGCCCGTGACTTCATAACTGGAAGTCTGTATCTCCCATCCCCCTTCACTCATTTTGCCCATCCCCTATCTCTCTCTCTGGCTGCCGTCCGTGTATCCTCTGTACTTATGGGTCTGTTTCTGCTTTTTGTTTGTTTATTCATTCTATTGCTTTTTAGATTCCGCATGTAAGTGAAATCCTATGGGAATTGTCTTCTGTCTGAGTTACTGGACTTAGTATATAATCTCTGGGTCTGTTCATGTTGTTGGAAATGCTAAGATCTCATTCTTTTTAATGCTGAGTAGTATCTCATGTACATTGAGTACATATAGCACATCTTTCTCCATTCATTTATCAGTGGACACTTGGGTTCTTCCTTGTCTGGGCTACTGTAAATAGTGCTGCAATAGACATAGAGGGCACATATAGTGTTTTCATTTTCTTTGGGTAAGTATCCAAAGAGTTACTGGGTCATACGGTGTTTCTATTTAAAAAGTTTTTGAGAATCAGCACCCAGTGTGGGGCTTGAACTCATGACCCTGAGATCAAGAGTCGCATTCTCTACCAAATTGAGCCAGCCAGGCACCCTCTGTTTTTAAGTTTTTGAGGAAACTCCATGGTCTTTTCCACAGTGGCCGCACAGTTTACATCCTTACCAGTAGCGCGAAGGGTTCCTTCTTCTCCACATCCTCGCCCTGTTACTGTCTTTTTGATTTTCACCATTTTGACAGGTATAAGGTGGTAACTCATTGTGGTTTTGATTTCCATTTTCCTGAGGATGAGTCATGCTGAGCACCTTTTCATGTATCTGTTGGCTGCATGTATGTCTTCTCTGGAAAGAGGTCTGTTCAGGTCCTTTGCCCAGTTTTCAGTCAGACTGTGGTTTTGGTGTTACGGTTTATAAGTCTTTTATATATTTTGGATATTAGCCCCTTATCAGATACATCATTTGCGAATATCTCCTCCTATTCGGTAGGTTGTCTTTTCATTTTGTTCATTGTTTCCTTTGCTGTGCAAAAGCATTTTACTTTGATGTAGTCCCAATAGTGTATTTTTGCTTTTGTTTCCCTTGCCTGAGAAGACATATCTAAAACAATGCTGCTTTGATCCATGTCAAATTTGCTGCCTATGTTTTCTTCCAGAAGTTTTACGGTTTCATGTTTCACATTTAGATCTTTAATGCATGTTGAGTTCATTTGTACGCTTGATGTCAGAACGTGGTCCAGTTTCGTTCTTTTGCATGCAGCTGCCTAGTTTGCTCAGTGCTGTTTATTGCAGACACTGTTTGTTCCCCATTGTATATTCTTGCCTCCTTTGTTGTAGATTAATTGACCATATAAGCATGGATTTATTTCTGGGCTCTGTTCTGTTCCATTGATCTCTGTATCTATTATTGTGCCCATACCATACTGTTTGGGTTACCATGGCTTGGTAATATATCTTGAAATCTGGAATTGGGATACCTCCAGCTTTGTTGTTCTTTCTTGAGATCATAGCACGCATTTCTTGTGTTTCTTGAAGGCCACATACTCTGCTGGGTGCTTTGTGTCTTGTAAAACCTGCTCATAGTTATAGCTTATATTTAAAATACAATTGAGGTTTAGGGGGATTGAAAAATTGGTTCAGGGTCATTGAGTAAATGGTGGAGCTGGGATTTGACACAGCAGTCGCCCTCCTAAGCATTTATACTGTACTTCTACCGAGGTGTTAGCTACACGGTTTTCCTGCGAAGAGTGGTTGACATGGTTTTGTGTGTATGTAGGATATCTTTAGAAAGGAAGAAAAAAACGTTACAAAGTGTAACTTTACGACACCAACCCAGTTGGTCTGTAGTGAAACTGACTTGAGAATCAGATCTATTTTTAAAGCCTTTTTTTTTTAAAAAAAAAATTTTATTATTTTTGAGAGAGAGTGTGGGAGCAGGGAGTGGGCAAAGAGAGAGGGAGAGGGAGAATCCCATGCAGCCTCCGCATTGTCAGCGCAGAGCCCGATGTGGGGCTCGACCTTGCAAACGATGAAATCAGTACCTGAGCTGAGCGAAATCAAGAGTCACATGCTTCACTGACTGAGCCACCCAGGTGCCCCTTAAGCCTTGCTCCTTTTAAATCATGCTACCTCTGAGGCAGCTATAATGCTGTCTTCCTTTTTGGCTCTGATAACTGTTTCGGCTCTGTGTGAAAATAGATCCTGTCATTTAAATTGTCTCAAAAATGTATGGCAGACACTTGTTACGCAATGAACAAAAGATATATTTACAGTGACTGCTGTTTTGGTAATTGAGAGGCTCATTGGCATGAACTCTGTGTGCAGTACAGGCAGTAGCACATCTGTGGGTATTAATTCTAAACTCAAAGAGGGAGATTCCATTAAATAATAAATTAAAAAAATCAAAGGTGCTTCTTTTTAATTTAATTTTTTAACACACCTCCTTTCGTCCTGTATTGTTTA